TATTAATTTATATTTGAGAAAATTCCCGTTTTGAATAAACGGCATGTAAAAATTTATGAATGCGTCTGTGGGGTCGACCGCTGGATGTAATGGACTTATGTCGAGGACGGGTTGGACCACCACCACTGCTGCTGCTGCTCACTCCTGCTTCCAGCTCCGATGTAAACATTGGCTCCATAGAACAGTTGCATCGTTTAAAAGTTGAAAGGTATGATCTCATACTAAGGCCAAGTAATTAATTGCTTTCATGAATCCACATATTGTTTCGAATCCCTCCAACCTTTAATTTGACTAGTGGCAAGGTACAGATTTTCTGTACTGCCAAATACGCTATACAGTTCATGGAGCGGCCAGCGGATTTTTACCTCTGGAACTTTAACATAGACATTCCCTCCGCTCCATACACACACACACACACATAAATATACACCTCATGTGCGCATACAGGAAGTATACAAGGCTGGACCTCGTGTGTGGGAGCCGGCCAGCAGTCGTCAATAGCGGCCAGATCACACACGCCCACCTCCACAGGTCAGGTATTGACAGGTATTGTCTCTAGTATATATACACCCGCAGGTGTTAATTAACTCTGTGAGGTGAAGAGACCAGGTTGCAAGGACCACCTCGCCTTGCAACCTTGTTGAGGTTCAAGGGCTGCAACCCCCTGAGTGCAATATCCGGCGTTGGCTGGACGTTGAATTAACGTCGATTCAACGTGGACTGTCTATTTATTTAATGTTGGCCCGTCTATGATAATTCATGTGACCGAAGAGAAGCCTGAAAAGGTTGATGGTGATTCGTTAGAGGATTGAGATGGTTGTGATAGGATTGAGTAATGGTAGAGGGGGGAGGGTGCAGATTTAGTAACTATAAGGGCGTGGAGTTGATGGGACGGTAGATGGGCTATTGATGACAGCTGCCGAATGTGATTGAATGGCATGGCCTACTGCAATCCTAATCCCCCCCCCAATCCATTCATACCAATCATACCTATACCTATCCACTCCCATATTCCCACCTATCCACCCTCCCCCATACCCACTAACTAGCTACTCCCATACACTCGTCTATCCACTCTCGACAGTATCTTAAAAGGGAATAAAAATTCATAAAATACAGAATAGACAGAGCGTTCAAGCTTATGACTAAGAGCTTGATTTTGACGGCAGATCTTGACGTCTGTCTAATATCTGTCAGCCTCTCGTCATCCTCAGCCTGTCTCCTTGCTTCTCTGCTCGACTCCTATCCCGTCCAGTATGCCACTCTAAATTCCATCAGAATTTACCTGTCATCCTGTCACTTCCCTGTCTAGCGTCTTGTTTACTATTCCCGTCTAAGAGGCTGTCTTCGGCTACCTGACTAATTTATTTCAAGGACAAGAGGACATAATTGGGAGTTGGAAACACAGATGAATCGAAGTACAAGGAAATGCTCGTAGCCAGTACACAGGTGAACACCGGCCACAGCCACACCCAGTACACAGGTGAACACCGGCCACAGCCACACCCAGTACACAGGTGAACACCGGCCACAGCCACACCCAGTACACAGGTGAACACCGGCCACAGCCACACCCAGTACACAGGTGAACACCGGCCACAGCCACACCCAGTACACAGGTGAACACCGGCCACAGCCACACCCAGTACACAGGTGAACACCGGCCACAGCCACACCCAGTACACAGGTGAACACCGGCCACACCCAGTACACAGGTGAACACCGGCCACAGTCACACCCAGTACACAGGTGAACACCGGCCACAGCCACACCCAGTACACAGGTGAACACCGGCCACAGCCACACCTAGTACACAAGTGAACACCGGCCACAGCCACACCCAGTACACAGGTGAACACCGGCCACAGCCACACCCAGTACACAGGTGAACACCGGCCACAGCCACACCCAGTACACAGGTGAACACCGGCCACAGCCACACCCAGTACACAGGTGAACACCGGCCACAGCCACACCCAGTACACAGGTGAACACATCCACACCCAGTACACAGGTGAACACATCCACACCCAGTACACAGGTGAACACATCCACACCCAGTACACAGGTGAACACATCCACACCCAGTACACAGGTGAACACATCCACACCCAGTACACAGGTGAACACCGGCCACATCCACACCCAGTACACAGGTGAACACCGGCCATACCCACACCCAGTACACAGGTGAACACCGGCCATACCCACACCCAGTACACAGGTGAACACCGGCCACACCCAGTACACAGGTGAACACCGGCCACACCCAGTACACAGGTGAACACCGGCCACACCCAGTACACAGGTGAACACCGGCCACACCCAGTACACAGGTGAACACCGGCCACACCCAGTACACAGGTGAACACCGGCCACACCCAGTACACAGGTGAACACCGGCCACACCCAGTACACAGATGAACACCGGCCACACCCAGTACACAGGTGAACACCGGCCACACCCAGTACACAGGTGAACACCAGCCACACCCACACCCAGTACACAGGTGAACACCGGCCATACCCAGTACACAGGTGAACACCGGCCACACCCAGTACACAGGTGAACACCGGCCACACCCAGTACACAGGTGAACACCGGCCACACCCACACCCAGTACACACATGGCGGACACAGATCTATTTTGATTTTAAATTCAATGTTTCGTTTCGAATATTTTTCTTTTTCCGAATACAAAAAATATTCTGAATTTTTTCCTATTTTGAGATCGGTTATTTTATTGTAAGATCTAGCTGGGTCTGCCCAGCCTTTACATTTCCTCTGTTGTCAGTAGCGTTGATGAGTGACGGCTGTCATTGTAGAGGGGGGGGGGGTCGTCTCAACACGGGGGAGGGGGAAGGGGAGTAAAAGAACTCCCGAACTCCTTTCCAGGTATACTCCAGGTATATGTGTGGGGTGGGGGGGGGAGAGATAGGGCCTCCGTGCACGCCACCATTACAATACAAATGTCTAAACAGTCATTGATGTCATCGTGGTTATCAATCTACGCTAGTCGGCGCAGGAGGGTTGATGACCCTGGGGGGGGGGGGGTCGACCCTCCTCCCTGGGGGTATTTATTTGGTCGCATTGTGCGTAATTCTTGATGTTCGCGACAGACACGCGAACCCCGCATTCTTTTCTGTTAAAATATGCCCACAGGCACGTGATGTTTTGGGGGTGTGGGGTGAGCTGGGGGGGGGATGGTTAGTGGGGTTGGAGGGGAGGGGGGAGTTAAGTGTGTTTTGAGGAGGGGGGAAGAGTGTCCACGGGTTGGGGCCTTGGTGTGGGATTACAGGGGGGGGGGGAGAGTCAAGGCAAAACGAGGTGGGCTAAGGGTTGAACCCACAATTAATAAGTGTATAACCCATTATTTAATAAGTGTACAATCCATTAATTAATAATGATCAGTCTTCCTTGTGCTGGGTCATGAAGGAGGCCGGCCTCGGGTGACAGAGAGCTGTGACGATCTCTGTCAGGAACCCGTAGGTGCGGGACCGGGCCGTCCACCTCCTGGGGCTCCTGCGGCCCCCCAGGCTCTGCTTCAGGATGCTGGGGTCGTTCTTGCCTTTGATGGGGTGGTTCTTCTCCGGCCCCGACCACGGCGGTCTCCGGGGTTGGAGTCCCTGTGCCTTCTTTCACCAACTTCGAGGTCAACTAAGGAGCGGGAGCCCCTGGGGGCAGTTCGTTGTTGCCTTTAACCTCGTTCTGACAGTTCCTGCGACGGCGCTGGAACCAATCGTATTGACATTTGGCTTTCCATTGGAGACTTTCGGCGCTGTGTAGATAGGGGGGGGACCTGCTGCATGGGTAACAGCTTCTCTTCCGTGTCAACCTACCCTGGCTTTGCGCCCTTTTAAGGCCACTCCAGACCGACAGAGTGGTCTGGAGTGGCCTTTAGAGCGCAACTCCATAGTCTCCTGGGACTGATGGATGCCTGATACTACTAAGGGGTGAATGGAAGTCTGGTGAGATGATATTTAGTCGTTATAGCTTGGCTTTCTCCTGATAGTTCCCTTCCTTTGGTGAGGGGATGCGGTGTATTGACTATTTCTCCCTGCAGGATCGAGCTGTTAGCTCTTGGACCCCGCCTTTCTAATCGTTAGTTGTCTAATGTACTGACTCCAGACTGTGGACTCGCGACTCTAATGTACTGTGTGTGTACTCACCTAGTACTCACCTAGTTGTTCTTGCGGGGGTTGAGCTCTGGCTCTTTGGTCCCGCCTCTCAACTGTCAATCAACAGGTGTACAGGTTCCTGAGCCTATTGGGCTCTATCACATCTACACTTGTGATAGATGTGATGTGCCAGGGGGGAGGGGGGAGCCTGACCCAGCTGTGCCAGGGGAGGGGGGGAGCCTGACCCAGCTGTGCCAGGGGGGCTGACCCAGCTGTGCCAGGGGGGGGGGAGGTGGTCTGACCGAACATAAATTTTAATAAGTGTGTACACACAGGCTGGGGGCACACCTCTCAGTGTACACACACGGTGAACCTCTCGGTGTATAACTAACGTATATCCCCTCACGAGGGACAGGTTAAAACTAAGGTAATCCAGATGTCCCTGGCTGTGGGAGGGTGGGTAGTGGTGACACACTGTGGGGGAAGGTGGGAGGGAGAGGGAGGGAGAGAGAGGGAGGGAGAGAGAAGATGGGAGAGAGAAGGGGGAGGGATAGAGGGAGGTGTGTGATGTATATGCGAGGCGCCAGTTATATTCATTCCTGCTGGTTAAATATTGATAAAGCGTCAGTAGGCAACATGTGCACTACAGGTGTCTCTGCCTCACCGAACACCTGCGGTTAGTCCCACACTCCGCCAGACATTTGTTCTTGCACCTGTTGGAACCCACTACTCCCTCTCTGATAAATATTAAACAGCCTTATCCCTTGCACTGCTAACAACGTTTATAAGCGTTCTGTGGTAAAATTGATTTATTTTTTACTGAGAAACAACACTCTGGGTGATAAGTTACTTTCATTCCCTGTGAACAAGTTAGTTATGTTTTAACTGTAGATAGTAGGGCCTGTATTGTGATTGGTGGAGCCTGTATTGTGGTTGGTGGAGCCTGTATTGTGGTTGGTGCGGCATGTATTGTGGTTGGTGGAGCCTGTATTGTGGTTGGTGGAGCCTGTATTGAGGTTGGTGGAGCCTGTATTGTGGTTGGTGGAGCCTGTATTGTGGTTGGTGGAGCCTGTATTGTGGTTGGTGGAGCCTGTATTGTGGTTGGTGGAGCCTGTATTGTGGTTGGTGGAGCCTGTATTGTGGTTGGTGGAGCCTGTATTGTGGTTGGTGGAGCCTGTATTGTGGTTGGTGGAGCCTGTATTGTAGTTGGTGGAGCCTGTATTGTAGTTGGTGGAGCCTGTATTGTGGTTGGTGGAGCCTGTATTGTGGTTGGTGGAGCCTGTATTGTGGTTGGTGGAGCCTGTATTGTGGTTGGCGGAGCCTGTATTATGGTTGGCGGAGCCTGTATTGTGGTTGGCGGAGCCTGTATTATGGTTGGCGGAACCTGTATTGTGGCTGGTGGAGCCTGTATTGTGGCTGGTGGAGCCTGTATTGTGGTTGGTGGGGCCTGTATTGTGGCTGGTGGAGCCTGTATTGTGGTTGGTGGAGCCTGTATTGTGGCTGGTGGGGCCTGTATTGTGGCTGGTGGGGACTATATTGTGGTTGGTGAAGCCTGTATTGTGGCTGGTGGGGCCTGTATTGTGGCTGGTGGGGCCTGTATTGTGGCTGGTGGGGCCTGTATTGTGGCTGGTGGGGCCTGTATTGTGGTTGGTGGAGCCTGTATTGTGGCTGGTGGGGCCTGTATTGTGGTTGGTGCGGCCTGTATTGTGGCTGGTGGGGCCTGTATTGTGGTTGTTGCGGCCTGTATTGTGGCTGGTGGGGCCTGTATTGTGGCTGGTGCGGCCTGTATTGTGGTTGGTGGAGCCTGTATTGTGGTTGGTGGAGCCTGTATTGTGGTTGGTGCGGCCTGTATTGTGGCTGGTGCAGCCTGTATTGTGGTTGGTGGAGCCTGTATTGTGGTTGGTGGAGCCTGTATTGTGGTTGGTGGAGCCTGTATTGTGGCTGGTGGAGCCTGTATTGTGGTTGGTGGAGCCTGTATTGTGGCTGGTGGAGCCTGTATTGTGGTTGGTGGAGCCTGTATTGTGGCTGGTGGAGCCTGTATTGTGGTTGGTGCAGCCTGTATTGTGGCTGGTGGAGCCTGTATTGTGGCTGGTGGAGCCTGTATTGTGGCTGGTGGAGCCTGTATTGTGGTTGGTGGAGCCTGTATTGTGGCTGGTGGAGCCTGTATTGTGGTTGGTGGAGCCTGTATTGTGGTTGGTGGAGCCTGTATTGTGGCTGGTGGAGCCTGTATTGTGGTTGGTGCAGCCTGTATTGTGGCTGGTGGAGCCTGTATTGTGGCTGGTGGAGCCTGTATTGTGGTTGGTGCGGCCTGTATTGTGGCTGGTGGAGCCTGTATTGTGGCTGGTGGAGCCTGTATTGTGGCTGGTGGAGCCTGTATTGTGGCTGGTGGAGCCTGTATTGTGGCTTTTGGAGCCTGTATTGTGGTTGGTGGAGCCTGTATTGTGGCTGGTGGAGCCTGTATTGTGGTTGGTGGAGCCTGTATTGTGGCTTTTGGAGCCTGTATTGTTGTTGGTGGAGCCTGTATTGTGGTTGGTGGAGCCTGTATTGTGGCTGGTGGAGCCTGTATTGTGGCTTTTGGAGCCTGTATTGTTGTTGGTGGAGCCTGTATTGTGGCTGGTGGAGCCTGTATTATGCTTGATGTGATCTGTGTTACAGTTGCTACAGCATGTGCAGCCTGCCGTTCATTATAAGGTGCAACCTGTGCTACAGCTGTGTGCCGTTAACTTGATCTATTGCAGTATAATTTGTGACACAGGACCCACGTTGAAGTCAAGTCAGCATGCCGTGCAGCATGCCGACGGCCCCCCCCTCCCGTGCAGCATGCCGACGGCCCCCTCCGTGCAGTATGCCGACGGCCCCCTCCGTGCAGCATGCCGACGGCCCCCTCCGTGCAGCATGCCGACGGCCCCCCCGTGCAGCATGCCGACGCCCCCCCTCCCGTGCAGCATGCCGACCCCCCCCCTCCCGTGCAGCATGCCGACGCCCCCCCTCCCGTGCAGCATGCCGACGCCCCCCCTCACCGTGCAGCATGCCGACGCCACCCCCTCCCGTGCAGCATGCCGACGCCCCCCCCCCCTCCCGTGCAGCATGCCGACGGCCCCCCTCCCGTGCAGCATGCCGACCCCCCCCCTCCCGTGCAGCATGCCGACGCCCCCCCTCACCGTGCAGCATGCCGACGCCCCCCCCTCCCGTGCAGCATGCCGACGCCCCCCCCCTCCCGTGCAGCATGCCGACGCCCCCCCTCACCGTGCAGCATGCCGACGCCCCCCCCCCTCCCGTGCAGCATGCCGACGCCCCCCCCCTCCCGTGCAGCATGCCGACGCCCCCCCTCCCGTGCAGCATGCCGACCCCCCCCCCTCCCGTGCAGCATGCCGACGCCCCCCCCTCCCGTGCAGCATGCCGACGCCCCCCCTCACCGTGCAGCATGCCGACGCCCCCCCCCTCCCGTGCAGCATGCCGACGCCCCCCCTCCCGTGCAGCATGCCGACGGCCCCCCTCCCGTGCAGCATGCCGACGCCCCCCCTCACCGTGCAGCATGCCGACGCCCCCCCCCTCCCGTGCAGCATGCCGACGGCCCCCCTCCCGTGCAGCATGCCGACGGCCCCCCTCCCGTGCAGCATGCCGACGGCCCCCCTCCCGTGCAGCATGCCGACGCCCCCCCCTCACCGTGCAACATGCCGACACAGTATCGTGCTTGAGCGTGACCAATCAACATGTAAATCACTGGTGTAAAATGTTGATAATTAGGCACTGTGCAAGGAGCGTCCCTCTCGTGCCCCGGGGGGGGGGGGGGAGGGAGGGGGTGTCTGTGCCACATAGCGTGCCACATGGAGGTGGGGGGGGGAGGGAGGGAGGGGGTGTCTGTGCCACATAGCGTGCCACATGGTGGGTGGGGGGGGGTGACGACATGGGGGTTGACAGTAACGCCGAATGGTAATGAAGTTTGCATAATGTTACTGATCATTGAAAACGAAGGAGAACCCCCCACGTTAGTACCCTGGGGGTGTTTAACCCCCCACGTTAGTACCCTGGGGGTGTTTAACCCTCACGTTAGTACCCTGGGGGTGTTTAACCCCCCACGTTAGTACCCTGGGGGTGCTTAACCCCCCACGTTAGTACCCTGGGGGTGTTTAACCCTCACGTTAGTACCCTGGGGGTGTTTAACCCCCCACGTTAGTACCCTGGGGGTGTTTAACCACCACGTTAGTACCCTGGGGGTGTTTAACCACCACGTTAGTACCCTGGGGGTGTTTAACCACCACGTTAGTACCCTGGGGGTGTTTAACCCCCCACGTTAGTACCCTGGGGGTGTTTAACCCACCACGTTAGTACCCTGGGGGTGTTTAACCCCCCACGTTAGTACCCTGGGGGTGTTTAACCCACCACGTTAGTACCCTGGGGGTGTTTAACCCCCCACGTTAGTACCCTGGGGGTGTTTAACCACCCACGTTAGTACCCTGGGGGTGTTTAACCCTCCACGTTAGTACCCTGGGGGTGTTTAACCCCCCACGTTAGTACCCTAGGGGTGTTTAACCCTCCACGTTAGTACCCTGGGGGTGTTTAACCCCCCACGTTAATACCCTGGGGGTGTTTAACCCCCCACGTTAGTACCCTGGGGGTGTTTAACCCCCCACGTTAGTACTCTGGGGGTGTTTAACCACCCACGTTAGTACCCTGGGGGTGTTTAACCCTCCACGTTAGTACCCTGGGGGTGTTTAACCCCCCACGTTAGTACCCTGGGGGTGTTTAACCCTCACGTTAGTACTCTGGGGGTGTTTAACCCCCCACGTTAGTACCCTGGGGGTGTTTAACCCCCCACGTTAGTACTCTGGGGGTGTTTAACCCCCCACGTTAGTACCCTGGGGGTGTTTAACCACCACGTTAGTACCCTGGGGGTGTTTAACCCCCCACGTTAGTACCCTGGGGGTGTTTAACCCCCCACGTTAGTACCCTGGGGGTGTTTAACCACCACGTTAGTACCCTGGGGGTGTTTAACCCTCACGTTAGTACCCTGGGGGTGTTTAACCACCACGTTAGTACCCTGGGGGTGTTTAACCCTCACGTTAGTACCCTGGGGGTGTTTAACCCCCCACGTTAGTACCCTGGGGGTGTTTAACCCCCACGTTAGTACCCTGGGGGTGTTTAACCACCACGTTAGTACCCTGGGGGTGTTTAACCCTCACGTTAGTACCCTGGGGGTGTTTAACCCCCCACGTTAGTACCCTGGGGGTGTTTAACCCCCACGTTAGTACCCTGGGGGTGTTTAACCACCACGTTAGTACCCTGGGGGTGTTTAACCCCCCACGTTAGTACCCTGGGGGTGTTTAACCACCACGTTAGTATCCTGGGGGTGTTTAACCCCCCACGTTAGTACCCTGGGGGTGTTTAACCACCACGTTAGTACCCTGGGGGTGTTTAACCCCCCACGTTAGTACCCTGGGGGTGTTTAACCCCCCACGTTAGTATCCTGGGGGTGTTTAACCCCCCACGTTAGTACCCTGGGGGTGTTTAACCCTCCACGTTAGTACCCTGGGGGTGTTTAACCCTCCACGTTAGTACCCTGGGGGTGTTTAACCCTCACGTTAGTACCCTGGGGGTGTTTAACCACCACGTTAGTACCCTGGGGGTGTTTAACCCTCACGTTAGTACCCTGGGGGTGTTTAACCCCCCACGTTAGTACCCTGGGGGTGTTTAACCACCACGTTAGTATCCTGGGGGTGTTTAACCCCCCACGTTAGTACCCTGGGGGTGTTTAACCACCACGTTAGTACCCTGGGGGTGTTTAACCACCACGTTAGTACTCTGGGGGTGTTTAACCCCCCACGTTAGTACCCTGGGGGTGTTTAACCCCCCACGTTAGTACCCTGGGGGTGTTTAACCCCCCACGTTAGTACCCTGGGGGTGTTTAACCCCCCACGTTAGTATCCTGGGGGTGTTTAACCCCCCACGTTAGTACCCTGGGGGTGTTTAACCCTCCACGTTAGTACCCTGGGGGTGTTTAACCCTCCACGTTAGTACCCTGGGGGTGTTTAACCCCCCACGTTAGTATCCTGGGGGTGTTTAACCACCCACGTTAGTACTCTGGGGGTGTTTAACCCCCCACGTTAGTACCCTGGGGGTGTTTAACCCCCCACGTTAGTATCCTGGGGGTGTTTAACCCCCCACGTTAGTACCCTGGGGGTGTTTAACCCCCCACGTTAGTACCCTGGGGTGTTTAACCCTCCACGTTAGTACCCTGGGGGTGTTTAACCCCCCACGTTAGTACCCTGGGGTGTTTAACCCTCCACGTTAGTACCCTGGGGGTGTTTAACCCCCCACGTTAGTATCCTGGGGGTGTTTAACCCCCCACGTTAGTATCCTGGGGGTGTTTAACCCTCCACGTTAGTACCCTGGGGGTGTTTAACCCTCCACGTTAGTACCCTGGGGGTGTTTAACCACCACGTTAGTACCCTGGGGGTGTTTAACCACCACGTTAGTACCCTGGGGGTGTTTAACCACCACGTTAGTACCCTGGGGGTGTTTAACCACCACGTTAGTACCCTGGGGGTGTTTAACCACCCACGTTTGTATGCTATGAAAATACTTTAAGTGTATGTTCATAGTTCATTGTATTAGCGTGTGTGTGTGATATACATCATGAGCCGTGAGGCTTCCGCCTGCCAGCGAACACGCAAGGTTAGAGGCTAGAGGTTAGAGGTACAAGGTTAGAGGAGTCATTCACTACTTCATAAATATATTCACAATTATTTACATCTCCCACAAGCACCACCAGGTGTCCTAATGACCTAATCTCTGACCGGCTTCCCCAGCGCTCTACATAATCCTAATCACTATTCTTAATCCTCGGAGATGAACTCTCCACTCAAATGACTGGCCTCGTGAGTGCCCTCGCGAGAGTAGTTTCACTATCAACTGCGTGAACAGTTTACAGAATGTAGATACAGAATTGGATATTCTGTATTGCTGGGCCGCATGTGGATTACATTCACTAGACAGGCGAGGCGATAGGGATGATATGACTGAAGTGTACACGTCGTTGAACATGTTAAAGTCGTCGGAGGCGTGGCGGGGTGTGCGGTCGTCGCCACGTCTCGCGTGGCGGGGTGTGCGGTCGTCGCCACGTCTCGCGTGGCGGGGTGGGCGGTCGTCGCCACGTCTCGCGTGGCGGGGTGGGCGGTCGTCGCCACGTCTCGCGTGGCGGGGCGGGCGGTCGACGCCACAATCTCGCGTGGCGGGGCGGCGGTCGACGCCACATCTCGCGTGGCGGGGCGGCGGTCGACGCCACATCTCGCGTGGCGGGGCGGCGGTCGACGCCACATCTCGCGTGGCGGGGCGGCGGTCGACGCCACATCTCGCGTGGCGGGGCGGCGGTCGACGCCACATCTCGCGTGGCGGGGCGGCGGTCGACGCCACATCTAGCGTGGCGGGGCGCGCGGTCGTCGCCACATCTCGCGTGGCGGGGTGGGCGATCGTCGCCACATCTCTCGTGGCGTGGCAGGCGGTCGTCGCCACATCTCGCGTGGCGGGGTGGGCGGTCGTCGCCACATCTCTCGTGGCGTGGCGGGCGGTCGTCGCCACATCTCGCGTGGCGGGGTGGGCGGTCGTCGCCACATCTCTCGTGGCGTGGCGGGCGGTCGTCGCTACATCTCTCGTGGCGTGGCGGGCGGTCGTCGCCACATCTCGCGTGGCGGGGCGGGCGGTCGACGCCACAATCTCGCGTTGGCCCTAGGCGTGCCTGGGGTCTGGAGGCACGAGGGTTGGTGTCGTCGTTATTAACGTAGAGGCCATGGTTACCGTGCCATGGCAGCGGCACAGTCAATATAAGAGCCAGGGGGGGGGGGGGGTGGCACAGAGCACTCCCTGTAATTGTCTCCCACTGACCAGCGGAGGTGACGCAGAGGGATAAGTGCGGGACAGGGAGAGGAAGGATGCATAAAAGTGGATAAAGTGAATAAATGGATGAAAGAGTTGGACATAAATAAGATTTCATATAAGGGGTACCAACGCTGGTTGTCTTTGTAGGGACCCTCAGCCTCGAAGAGGAGGATATGCAGCACCCGGGGCAGCCTTGTTGGGCTCTGACGTGCGCTGGCACATATTGTCTTCTCCTACCACCTCCTTATATATGCAATTGTTAATAATGTTTTATGTTTATCACAAAATAAAACTCAAAGCATTAGATATAAGTAAGTTAGATTTAGAATAGACCTGGGTAAATACTGGCTGGGAAACCTGTAATTATGGAACGAATTACAGTGTAACAAAACTGATAAATATTGTTTCAAGCGTAGGTTAAGCATATATACGAATGCGTTTAGCTGGATATAAATACACTGTCTCATTTGGGCCAATGGGCCTTCTGCTATCATCTTAATTCTTATATTATATATGTGATTATATCAACTAGCTTAGCTACTGGGGAGTAGAAATAGTCTAAGCTACTTTATTCCTTTGAGATGTATTATTTCTTGTCTCAAACATACTTTAACTTGCTTCCCCTTTCGAAGGAGGAGAGACGACAAAAAATATATAATGGTCAGAATTGTAGTTTGTTTTCATAAGCACACCTCACCACATTGTATAGATGAATGCTTAATTCATCCACTGTGTTCTGTGTATAGTACACCTGTACACCTTTCTGTGTAGACCAGACGAAAATGAATATATATGCCGGTTAGCATTGAATGAATGACAGTCTGTGGTTGAACTAAAAAAAAGTTAGTAGTGGATTATCTATCGTTATCAGTGATTATGAACTACCGTTCGTTATCAGTGGTTAGTGGATTATCGGTCATTATCAGTGGTTTTGTTGGTGAATTAGTTTTATCATTCTCCTTAAAGACCTGACCTGCCACCCACCCACCTACACAAACGCGCGCGCGCGCGCGCGCGCACACACACACACACACACACACACACACAGACCGACATACACGCTGGAACACACACACACCACGACTTGAATGTACGTGGTGATCATACAGAATCTTGTATGATCACCACGTACAAGATTCTCAGGGGAATTGACAGGGTTATCTTGAGGTTATCTTGAGATGATTTCGGGGCTTTAGTGTCCCCGCGGCCCGGTCCTCGACCAGGCCTCCACCCCCAGGAAGCAGCCCGTGACAGCTGACTAACACCCAGGTACCTATTTTACTGCTAGGTAACAGGGGCATAGGGTGAAAGAAACTCTGCCCATTGTTTCTCGCCGGCGCCTGGGATCGAACCCGGGACCACAGGATCACAAGTCCAGTGTGCTGTCCGCTCGGCCGACCGCCTCCCCAAATACATAAAGACAGGCTATTTAACACAAGGGGCACACGCACAAGGGGACACAGGTGGAAACTGAGTGCCCAAATGAGCCACAGAGATATTAGAAAGAATTTGTTCAGTGTCAGAGTAGTTGACAAATGGAATGCATTAGGCAGTGATGTGGCGGAGGCTGACTCCATACACAGTTTCAAATGTAGATATGATAGAGCCTAGTAGGCTCAGGAACCTGTACACCAGTTGATTGACAGTCGAGAGGCGGGACCAAAGAGCCAGAGCTCAACCCCCGCAAGCACAAATAGGTGTGTACAAATTGGTGAGTACACACACACATACCGACATACACGCTGGTACACATACACACATGCAGGGCGGTACACGCATACACAGACGTGTGTGTGTGTGTGTGTATGTATTTGTGGGAGGTGCTTAAGGGGGGGGGGGTTATAACCCTGTTTACGCCTGTGTCTGTCCAATGTTAAGGATTTTGTAATCCCCTGCCGTCTCCTTCCCTATTGCTCTTAGTCATCCTCCCTCTTCCATTATCGTATCCCCCTCCCTCCCCCCCTCCCTCCCGTCCTGTCCATCTGTTCCCTTTATCTGCCACATTTCACTATCTGGTGTGCACGCTGTGGCTCGCTGGGGACATGTCTCCGCAGTTTTGCCCTAGTTATGGAGACACAGCCCAGCAGTTTAGTGCAGTTATGTCCTCGTAGCTCCACCTACTTTTGTACAGCAAGCACTTTATGGTCTCTGCGGAGATGGGTAGGGGGAGGGGGGGCGCTTGAGTGATGGGGGGGAGGTGTAGAGTGAGGGGGCTAGGGGAGGCAGGCTAGATGGAGGGGTGGGGACAGTGGAAGGCAGGCTAGAGGGAAGAGGTAAGGGAGGCTGGAGGGAAGGGTAAGGGAGGCTAGGGGGAGGTAGGGAGGGAGGGAGGGGTAAGGAAGGGAAGAGGGAAAGCGAGGCAAAGGGGAAGGGGTATGGGAAGGTAGAGGAAGGGTTGGGGAGGGGATGGTAGGATGGAGATGGAAAGGATGTACTATCCTCATGCATGTGCTCATGTGAATGCATGTGCACATGAACATAACCACCAATGTGTGTACACACACGCACACACACACACACACACACACACACACACACACACACACACACACACACATACACGCGCGCGCACACGCACGCACCCTCGTGCACGAATACAAACGCCCGCGTTCCATTCACATGAACATAGAGTAACACCGGCTACCATTAACCTGTGTTTTCCTCCGCTTAACAATCCCCTTAATCCTTGTAAGCGTCACAGCGGCCCATGTTTACACCGTCACTTTCTCCCAAGTTCCCGGGAAATGTTTACAAGATAATTAACCACTTGAGGGGTAGAATTGCTAACCAAACTCAAACATCATTAGTGTGTTCTGTTTACCTTTCTAAATATAAGTGTTTGCAGACGCTACAAAGCAGCAAAGATGTGTTTTTTTATATACAAATTATTCTTGCAGGATTTTGTTTTTTTTCCTACTTCCTTCATCTTAATGATTGTGTGTTTTTTTCCAGGGTGATTGGATACTTAACGTCAAGGGCAGTTTCTGGAGGCTTCGCCAGTGACGTGACAGGTGGGTAGTTACTGGTTACTTGAGAGTGCCATTATAAATACAAGGTAACAGTAGCTTGGACTAGTAAACTTTGCCTCCATTTAAATTAAACATTACTATTTTCCTATTTACATACTAAGGTACCTGGTCATTTACACTGGTGTGCTAGACTATATGAAGGGTTACATCGTGTGTGTGTCAAGAGCCAGGTGTGTGATACTAAGGTACCTGGTCATTTACACTGGTGTGCTAGACTATATGAAGGGTTACATCGTGTGTCAATAACTAGCTATGTGATGCTGAAGACCCGCATCTCATATTATGGATAGACATAGAGGAGTTGATGATCAACGTGCTCTGGCGAACCTTGTATGTGCTTTACCATTTATTTTATTGATACATTAGGTACATGTGCATTTGTGCAGCTGCCCTAGACTATATGAAGGAGAGTACAGTGTGTGTCAAAAAGCTAGCTACGTGATGCTAAAAAATCCCCATCACACAGGATGGTTAGTCATACAGAGGCATGTGATAGGCAGACTGCACTGGCAGACTCTGGGTGCATTATGAGGATATTTTGATAAATTGAATACTGGAGTAACTCTGCGGAGATATAACCCCGGGTTTCACAATCTCGGCTCTCTGGTTGTTAAAATTTAAGAACATCTCAATTTTTATGTTTGCTTTTTATAAAAACACTGCGTACAGGAGGCAATGGTTGTTTTGGCTTCTTGAATGTATTAGACTACACAGGCACCTCGCTTAATGTTTCTATGCGATGATGTTCGATGCAGTTCGACTTTCGCCGCTTTCTCTTTCCCATTTTTGGGTTTTCAGGTGTGTAATCTATGCCACCGCCCCCATAGCATACCTTAGCATACCTACTATATATACTATATCCTAGTATATATAACCTATATATATATACTATATATAGTATTCCCAGACCCAGCCAGTGGGCGGCGGCGGGTAGTACACCAACCCACGCGTATAATGACCCCCTGATAGGCAGTTAAAGGTTAAATAGCACTTGGGGCGAGGAACTGGGATGTGAAGACTGTGCCCAAAACGTGGACCCTCGGGAATCGAACTACGACCCTGCAGGAGGTGTGGGGAAGTGTTTGGTGGAGGAAGTGTTTAGGCGTGGGGGTGGGGGAGGTGTTTAGGGGGGTAGATGGGGGGTAGATGGTGGGCATGAAAGCTATCGCAGGAGACGAGGGGAGGGAGGGAAGAGACCCAGAGGGAGGGAATATACGGAGTGAAGGTTGAAGGAAACTGAACACAAGACCAATTGATCCACGTGAGGTGCCTCCTGTTTACGCCTAGCCTAGCGATCACAGGAATTACTCATGATAAATTTGTGTGTGTGTGTGTGTGTGTGTGTGTTTGTGATGGAGAAAGGGGGTGCGGTATCGCATGAGAATGTTAGATAAGCAGCTGACAAGGTGAGGAGATTACAGGCTGATAAGAGATGAACTGGACAGTTTGTGTGTTCCCTGATGAAGGTCCCCAACCCCTGTTTTGCTATACTGGTGGTAAATAAAAATCCCAAACATTTCTTCACACATATAATTATATATATATATATATATATATATATATATATATATATATATATATATATTTATATATAGATATATATATATATATATATATATATATATATATATATATATATATATATATATGTCGTACCTAGTAGCCAGAACGCACTTCTCAGCCTACTATGCAAGGCCAAATTTGCCTAATAAGCCAAGTTTTCCTGAATTAATATATTTTCTCTAGTTTTTTTTCTTATGAAATGATAAAGCTACCCATTTCATTATGTATGAGGTCAATTTTTTTTATTGGAGTTAAAAT